TAATGTTGTCTAGGTTTCTAGCATTCTATTCTTTTCAGATAATTAAAAGAACACATAGTGTCATTGAATAAGAAAAAAAATTCAGTTGTACATTCGTATATATATATAGTTATCTGTAAAATATATGTCTATATGAGGATAGAAAAGATTACATCATAAAATGAATTCGAGACTAGATAACAAATGTGGTTACGTACTAATCGAAGGATAAGGAAGAAAATAGTTAGTCAGCTAATAGTCCAATTGACGGATATGAAGAAAAACGACAAACAAAAGGTCATGATAATAAGCCGAATAATAATCAAGAAAACTTGCATAAGGTAATAATAATGATAACTGATTAGAGTTCAATAATAATCAAACAAAAGTGCAGAAGAACATGGGACAAAAAATCCCAGAAACATACCCACTAAGGGAATCAGGGCCAAGGAAGGATGAAAGGTTGGACGAATCATTTCTGCACGCAAAGTTCAGGCTTGAGTTCATGGATTGCCAATGCCTCAGCAGTGCATAAAATATTAATACGACATCCCTTTGTTCCAGTTCCTTTGACTCTGTAGATTACTTTGAAAGAAGAATCTTTTGGAGCGATATATATATATATATATATATATATATATATATATATATATATATATATATATATATAAATGTACAGCTTAAGTAAATGGTTTGTTCGAAAAGAAAATTTTCTCTGAATTCTCATTTTCTTATTCTATTCCTTCATTACTATGCTTCTACCATCACAAAAACCATTACAATACAATGTCTATACATAAATTTACAATTAAGCATTTAAAAAGTACCCTCCTTTATAAATAAAAGTCGATTACTGTTAACATAAATCAGTGTTAATGTTTCACTACAATAAAATTTACTCATCTTCAAATGGAATAGTTTTATTTTAATAATTTTCACCAAGTTGTTATATATTAATGTACATTAATTTCTATGACTGAATAAGATAAGTATTTAAAGTGATAATAAGATTAATAGTTAAATTTAAAACAATTAGTCCCTTCGATAATGCAGTGAGAAGACGAAGTTCATCAGAATTATGTGATATATTTACGCAATACATTTTGAACATTTTGATTACACATATACTTGCTAAGACATTTTTATATGAAAATTAAAGGTCAACTAGACATGTTAAAGGTAATGCATAACAAAGAAAAAATAACATTAAAGTATACAAAGACAAATGTGATTACCACTCTGGATAATAAATCAGTATTAACAGGGTGTGTAAGGACAAATTGTTTTTGAACGCATAAAGGCGATTTCAATTTCCGTATAGCAAAGGCTTCAATAAACCTTAGTATACGTCCTTGAACGCTTTTGTATAACTCTACAAATGCTGACTTGACGTCAACTTTATGATCAGTTTCAAGCAAACCTTTCTCAATGGAGGATGATGTCTGTCTATCATGTGATCTTATTTGACCATTGGAATTCATTTGTTTCTGCAGCTATTTTGGTATGAGTTCATCCACCCTTAATTGCAAATCACGATCGCTCCTCCCTATGTACGTGTTTCCGTACATACATGTAAATTGATAGACATAATAGGATGTGACACAATCGCTTTAGATGCTGTTTAGCCTTTGTTGAAACATGGACCTTGTCTTTTCGATAATGACAAGTATATGTGTGATCAGATTGTTCGAAATGTATTGAGTAAGTATATCATATAATAGTCTGATGACAATAATTAATAAAATTTATATAGTTTTTAAAGTGATATTCATTGGACTGAAACAAATAGGCAGTCCATTTAAATAAATGACTTTAATTTGTTTTAAATGTACATTAAATGTGTTATACGGTGAAAATATGAAGTGAATAAATTAATTAGAATCTCACGTAAAGCTTTTCTCGATTTAAAGGTTGTGTTTACCTTTGATTAAGTGAAACAAACTAAAGAACCTTCAATAAGTATTTTACATGAATCCGAATCTCTATAGTAATGTCAACGTTGTTTTTTTTTTACAAATGGTCAAACATTTAGGCGTTATCATAAACATGCATTGTTTTTCGTTTGCATTCTCAAGTTTTAATATGTTCACCATATAGCATAACCATTATCCTATATCACAGATGTATAGCTGCCCCAATTCTTATTGGATTTAATTCATAGAGAGAAGTTTCACAGGAGAACTTTGGGTAAACGATTCATAACAAATTATAGATATTCAAAATTTTATATATATTTAAAAAGTAAATTGAAATAGAAGTATAATAAACTGCAACTGACCAATGCCCAATACAGTATAAGGACTACTCTCACAAATATAGTAATAACGGTTCTTAGTTCTATAGGCTGAATAAGTGATCAATAGACAAACAAATCTCATTCCAAACGGATGATTTTATTCAATATAAATTTTATCATGAGTTAAATAAACAACTTTAGTTTTGAATTCACTTATTAAAACAAAATGTGTATATCAAGGTATTGGAAAAGTTGATTAATGACAGTTTAAAATTCTCAGTAAGGATGATACGTTTTTATGCTAAATTGTCTTACAGTTCCACTACAGATAATTTACCTTTAAATATTTTGCGGACATTGTTAAGTTGCATAACTGTTCATTGGAACATTGTGTGCTACCATATTTGTCAGCTCATACTGATATTTCGCTTCTATTTACTTCTACGACTAAATTGCCATCGAATGATAAGTGTTTCTTTTACTACAAACTCTCGGTGTTCTAAGTGTCTCTTAAAAATATTTCATTATACAGAGGAATAACATTTAAGTGAAATAAGAAACTTTTTAAAACTGGGAAGGGTTGACAGACTTTCAGCACCTAAATTTATTACACAATCACGTGACACCGGCACTGAAACGCCATTTTTTCATTTTGAAAGTCAGTTGAGAAATTCAAGGTTAAATAGACTGATTTTCACATTTATGAAAAAATAACTTAAGTTAACATTCTATAATAATAAAAATTAATGGATTCGACTCAACATATGATGGCATACTTTTTAAAAGCATACGAGTTAAAAGTGGATTTCAGATATGCCGAATTCAAAGTGCTGAATCGTCTAGCCATGGATGATCTAACATTAATGCTTTCATCTTTGCATAGCTAGTGCACAAGTTGATATGATACAGCGCAATTTTCTGGAATATGTTTCCTTGTTCATTTTAGTTCAGAGAAATATTAATGGTATATGTAAACCGACTCAATCTGTGTTCTATATTTTCTTCGGACACATAGATAGGGCTTGTATGAAAAGAGATGGTAGAAAATATTATACGTAATATTTCACGATTATTCAAGTTAATTAAAAAACGAGGCTGAAGTTAACAAATCAATGTTAAACGTTAAAAGAAGAGATAGTTGTATCTTTGTAGATATGTAAAAAAAATATTTCAAGGTTCAATCCATAATGCCGAGAAGACCAAGTAATAAATATATACTAAGTACATTTTGTACGCTTTGTAAACAGCAATGAATTTGAAACAGATAGTATGAATGTCATAAAAATGGTTCATACAAAAATTATGTCAAGCAAATAATTCATTTAGGGGTAGTAGATAGGAAATCCTGACCTTAAATTTTGCTCTACTCGATTGAAGGAATTAATGTTCTACGGTGAAAAGAATCTGGTGTCACCAAGATTCTTATTCAGAAAAGTTACCACTAAGTTATTCAGGCAGTGGGTGACTTTCCGTAAGAAATATATTTATAACTGACTGGTCACTGATTAGTAACCAAGATCATGTTTTTCTAGTCCTTTTTACTGTTAATCGACTTCTATCGATGAAGCTGGATTGATAGCGTTCAGTCAGTACTAATAAAGACTTGATATATATGATACAACCCCTAGAAAACAATATATTTCATTGGAAACCTTCAAATCTATCTCTAGAATTATCAATTTCAAGAAAAATAAAACCACATTAGAATTTTAGCTGTGCAAAACATCATGAAGTGGGATCAGACTATTACTATTAGTATTCAACCTAGTAACTAGGATACCTGAAAGTGAACAAGAACAATATAATATTTCCAGTTTTTCTGTTTTTGAGCATATTAATTGAGCTGAAATTGACAAACGAAATTGTGACATAGATAATATTTCCTCTAACCTTTTAATATTTGTAGTTATCATCAATGAATTGGTGAATCTTTTAACTGTAAACTTAACAATTCACATAATTTACACATACAAACAACAGTATTATAATTTAGTCTCTAAATGAAAATTTCATTCAATTCACTTAATATTATTCTTTTTTCTGAGAAACATCATGATAAACATACTACTTAAAACACTTTTTCCTACTTGGAATTATTCTTATAGCATGATAACATTTTACTGAATAATTTTATAAAAATCGATATTTTACGATAAATCACTACTCACTAATCAATAATTCAAACATTTTTAATAAATCAATAATTAAAAAAAATCAATCAATTAAAAATACAACGAAACCCCCCCCCCAAAATGTTCTTCATCAAAACGTATTTCATTATCAATGATTGATACATTTTAAATAAATAAAAAAATAAATTATATTTATTATAATACTACTTTATTTTCTATATGCTCATATGGTTATTTTATTCTCAAATTTAATATATAAATATTTTATTATAAATACTGGTGTATTACACTTTCGTTTTCTTTTTCTTTTTTTCTTTTATCATCGTTTAATAGCATTGCCTACCATTTAAGAAATAAATAGAAAACATTTTGATAAAATAATTAATTTAAATAGAACTGATTTCTTTTTATGTTTGTTGTCAAGCCTCCATTCAAATATTGTTCAATATTCAAGTGCATATAGATATATAACTATATTTTGTTAAAATTAGCAATATTTATCACTAAAGCAAATGAATATTATTTAATAAATTAATTCTATATCATTTAATTCAGTCAATGATTTTCTTTTATATTCTATTGTTGTATATAAAAAGGAATGTGAAAAATAGTATATATAGTTTGTTTGTTTTTTCTTACAATTTCATTATTCAGTTTGTTTGATTATTATCGTTAGAATAATGTAATTCATAAGACAAATGAAACAAAATCGCATTTCTTTCTTCTTCTTTTCTTTTTTTTTGACAAGAAACATTTATATTGCTCATTTGGATACAATATACATTTCTATAAAGTTGATTCAATTCATTTCCTAGATACAAATAAGGAATGTTAATTGAATTTGAATAAATTCAAAATATGTTTATATGTATAGATAACCACTTTTTACAATGAGAATGATTGACAGTTAAATTGTAATGATAATGTTATAATAAAGTTTTTTTTTAAAAAAAAATTGGCTCAACATTTAATCACAAAAAAACCCCTGCTAAAATAACATTTTGTCATAATGTTTTAATTGTATAATGTTCCGGTGAATAATTCACATATTGATCAATAAACGGTATAGGATCTGTACTATAATTTAAACTGTTCGAATTTAAATAAAAATCTTCGACACAAATTAATTTATTTGAATAAAGTGACATTGTCTCTTGATCAGTAAATGGAATATTGATTTCTTGTTCTGAATGATGTAAATATTGTTGTTCACATTTATCATCAATATGATTATCATGATGATGTTTCTTATTTGAATGATTATTACGTAAAAAAATTCTACATTTAAATATATCCATTAATGTACGCCGAAATGTTGGCATAAATGCTAAATATAAGAAAAAATCAAAAGCATGATTAAATGAATCAACTGAACTAAATAATTTTGAATATTGCACAATTTGTTTAGTATATTCTGGATATAATATATCATATTTGTAAAAATATACTTGTTGTCTTAAAATAATCATTACCACTAATGGTATAGATAAACTTGTGAATAGAATACTAATAGCTAAATGTGCTATTACTTTACCCCTTTCATTATTTGATTCATCATCTTTAGTACCAATTAATTTTGATCGATAAACTGTTGTACTCAATTTATATAATATTAAAATATTTGTAATAAAAATGAATATAGCTGGAAGTATAGCTACACCAATAATATATAAATAAAGAACATATTTTACACCACCAGCAACAGGATTAATATATTGACATTCATGTGAATTATTTATTGGATGAATTTTTAAATCAGCAAATATTAAATGTGGTATATTTAATATTAAACAAATAATTATAACAAAACCAATAATAATATGCGCTAATTTCACATGAGAACTTTGTTCAAAATGTTTTGGATTATAAATTGAACAAACACGATCAACACTAAATAACATTAATATAAATGCAGCAATTAATGCTGAAGCATCAGTTAAATAAGTAAATGTTTTACATAGAAATGATGATTCTATATCAACTTGTATTGAATATTTACATTGTGTTGCATATTTTAATCCACGACCTAAAAAATCATCAATTAATGTATTAACAATTAATTGTATATTATGAGCAATAGACATCCATATTGCATATAAATTAAAACGGCAAGTTTTTTGATATTCAATTATAATAAATACAAGTATCACTAAAAGATTTGATGGAATACCAATAATAACTAATATTGGTGATACATAAGCACGAAATGTATATACCATAATTTCTTCTTTTGTAAGATGATTTAAACATCCTTTTGAATTGAACATGATTTTTTTAAAAATTTTTATTTTAATTCATCAAATTTTTTTTCTTTTTGTTTTTTTTGTTGCTTAGTTTTATTTTTTAAATGTTGCTATGACAACCAAAAAATTTTTTTTTGTATTAATTTTGTATAGTCGAATATTTGAATTTAAGTAATTATTAATAAAGAATTAAATATTATATAATGAAATTCTTAAAAATGATTCGACCAAATTAATATTATTATCATTTGCATTCTGATTGGTTATAATAGACTTAATTATATAGATATACATATAAAGTTGATTTACAAATATGTCTAGTATTTAAAGTTTAATTATGACTATTTTATTGTTGTCCTCTAGTAATCAAGTGGTTGTAAATAAATATTGATGTTATATAATGAGTAGTTTAGAATTTATGATTTTTTTTCCAATCATGATATACGTGTATTTTATCATAGATATTACCTAATCAATTTATTACCAATGTATTTGGGTTTATGCTAACTCAATAGTCATTTTAAAAATAACTAATTATTATAATTTATATCAGAAGAGGTTTTGTGGAGATTATAGTAATTTCAATAGTTAAGATCATGAGTTAATTAAAGCTAGACTACCATGGGAAGCCTAGAAGCACTGAATGGCCGTCTTGTCTTGTTGTGGGACTCCTCAGCAGTGCGCATCCACGATCCCGCTCCGTGGAATCCGAACCCAGGACCTATCAGTATCGCGCGTGAGCGATTAACCACTAGAACAATGATCCGGCTAGCATCCAACGGTGTTAAGGTTTAACTTCAACTAATCCACGAAATTGAGTGACACATTCATCATTGTCATCAGTGAGTTACTATTTCACAACAGACCCGTTTCAATTCCACTGGTCACTACTTCTCACTAGAACTCCAGGATATACGTCTTGATGCCAGTCACTAGTGAGCATTTGTTGATTAGTATCAGAAGGGAATTTTGTGAAGATTGTAGTAATTCCAATGGTTGATATCATGAGGCAATTAAAACTAGATGACCGTGGAAAACTTGGAAGCATATTATATTTGAAGACCTTCATTTGATCCTTCTGTTTATATACAATAACTATGACATTTTTTAAAAAACGGTTTATGATCACTGTATTGTAACGTTGTGAATGTAGAACATGATCGTGATATTAATGTTTATTCTTGTACCACTTTAATTTTATGGTTCTCATCAGCTAATTCACACGTTAGATAGTTAGAAACAATTGGAAAAAACTCTGAACGTAGTCTAGGAGTATCTACAATTTTCAAAGAACTAATGTCTTTAATGAGGCTTAGAGTGGAGTCATACAATGCTAGTCAGAAACGTTTCAACTATGCTATTCAATTCACCACTGACTAAGATTCTTGGTTGATAAGAACAAACACGCATATTATATGTGATGTTAGGTTTAATGAAGCACGTTGTAATTGTGAAATTCCATTTGAACTAATGATCAAATAAGCATAAGATTGGTTACTGCTCGGTAATAAACCAGAGTTTATTCCTGTTTCTTTTAGATTTTTTGACCAAATTTTATGTTTGAAAGCAGTTTAGGTTCTTTACTTAAACTACTTTTATACCTGTTTTTCTCGGTCATGTTTATGCAGCATGATTTTAATAATATTGTCTAACAATGAATAAGAACTCGTCACTAATGAGCCTGCAATGAGGAAGTACGGTCAGTAAATTATTAACCCGGATGATATGCAAAAGAGCTCAGAGAACGTTTAAACAGGAACATCATAATCGAAGCACCGACGGTGATCCTTAGTAAGAAAGAATAATTATCTTTTATTCATTAATTTAACTGCTCCTACGGAACAAGTTGATTTAGCCTATTTGTGAGAGAATTTTATTTTCATGTTCATGAATGCCTTCGAGACTAGCTAAGCAAAGGTGCAGTTAGGACTCTAAGCACGTCATTTCTACTCAATTTATTTCGAACTAGCCACCTAGCTTTTACAAAGTAGTCGTTTTCAATAGTCTATCGAGTTAGTTACTATTTACTGAAATCTGTCAGACTCAGAGCCCTTCAAACAGGAGAAACAATAGCCAAAATAGTAAATAATTAGACATTTGAGATTGGGTAGTATTTTATCCAGTTCTTTTCATTTCACTTGATTTATCACATGTCTGAAAGTTCAATATTCATTTGAATTCTAAGATAACCTAATACATTACACGTAGCCTTCTTTCTTCAGTTCCCAGTTTAAATTTTTCTTAACCAAGTGCTATAGTTATTATCATCATTTACATGTCTTCGTATTATCTATAAGCTTGATAATATGAATAAATTAAAGATCATGTTATTCAAGATATTTTAACTCGTATAATTTTATGCATGTCGAAATCGTTAACTAAACATTCGATCTGATCGTTTATTGTATTATAATTTCTCTCTTCGTATGTTATCTTCATTTCTTTTAAGCATCAATGACACAATTTTATTTGACATTTAAACTGATTCTAGATAAACACTGCAAATAAACCATTCTGACAACAACAACAACAACTTGATTTTAAAAACAATCTTTACTTTTTATTTTATAATATTTAAAAGGATGCATTTATTTTAACTTTGTCTACTGTTCGAAAATCATCTATGTGGATATATAACTGCGGAACGTGAGCTAGATTTATTGCAAAAAGCACTGTTTATTCGTACACTTGCCTTGTTTATCATTGCCCTTGAAGAAATTATATTTCTTTGTGTTACGTATACGCTTTTATACGCTATTGTAATGTATGATGCTAGCTAGTAACAAAGTTGATCAAAACAGGATGAGTAAGCGTTAGACCAAATCATCATAACAGTCTATAAATGTTCAGTGCAACCATACAAGGAACTGTAAACTTCAAATTAAAGTTTATATTTTTATGGTTCTGGTTGGTTGGGGATCTTAAGTGACATGAAGAGAAATCATAGTGGTTAAACAATATTTGTTTTTTATCCTGAAAGTGTTGGGATATTTTCGTCATTACGCTTTTTATTTGTTTATTTTCAAGCTTTTTTATGCTTATGGTTTGATTGTCATTGAGATTATTAAGACGTAGACAGATATACTTTTCAGTATGGGATTGTGGAAATTATTACGTTTTTGATTGAAATCGTGAATCGATTGATGTTAGATCACCATTGAAAACCTAGAAGCACTAGACGGCCGTTTCATCCTATTATGGGACTCCTCGACAGTGCACAACCACGATCCCGCTAGCGGTATTCGAATCCAAAACCCTCGGTCTCGGACGCGTACGCCTAACCTCTAGACATATTTTTGTTGAAGATTCTATGTTTTTTATGACTAACAAATTTTCTTAAACAGTAACCATCTAACAGAAAATTTATTTTGGAAACCAATACTGTTAGTCAGTGACCAATGAAATCTGGTTTGTCTTTAAAACTATTGAAGTGATTCTTGGATCAGTTTAAAAGAACCATTCACAGTAGATAAGAATTTAAAAATTATTTTGGTTTATTGTAGCTTTTATAATCTACACATAGACATAATATATGTCTGTTTACTATAGTGTTTAAAATATTACACTTGTCAAATATGATCATCTTTAACCTTTACTGTTTTTTCTTAAACATGTTTGACTTCATCATCCAAACTAGAGTTCCGCTTATTGTTTTTATAGAATAAGTATACATGTGTCTAGAATTGAAATAAAAAATACACATTCCATCCTACTTAAGACGGGCTAATTAGGAATTTTCCTAATAATAACACAAATATTAAATCTGTTGCTTACGCAAGATTCCTCCTGGACTCAGCAGCACAGTAAGCATTTAAAATAATATGGAATAGGTTAGAGTCTTAGTTTGAGAATCATCAATAGAATGGATGTATCTCCAGATGACGAGTTTTAAGTAGGACATAACGAGCATCCTGGATTCCAATTTAAGCTACAAATCTGTCTATTCTATGGAAACATGCGGCAAAAGGTCGAAACACGAATCGAAAATCAGTCACGGTTAACAATAACAATTAACGTATTTTAAAATTCATACACTTGTTCAATCAAACAATTAACACCTTTCTGTTATTCCTATCATTTCATTTACTCAATAATGCTAAGTTTACTTCACACAGAAGAACTTTGATCTAGTTACTATATATAAGCTGAAATTTATGTATATTCTGGTTTATGGCTACTTTAGTAAAACTAATAGCGCGAACTAGCTAAACATCTGTATAAACAATTTCGTTTCCTTTTTCCCACTAATTCGAAAATATGAATTTCTAATAATAACTAATAACCAATTATCAGAAAGGAGTCTTTTGGAGATTTTAGTAATTTTAAAGTTGAATTCATGAGTCAATTGAAGCTAGACCACCATAGAAAACCTAGAACCAGTGGGTGGGCGCTTCGTTCTGGTATACGGCTTCGCAGCAGTATGCAACCACGATCTCGCTCCGCGAGATTCGAACCCAGGACTTATCAGTCTCCCACGATGGCTCAATTTCATGGATCGGTTGAAGTTCGACATTGACACCGTTAGATGCCCACTCCGTGGTTTAGAGGTTAAGCGTTCGCTTGGGAGACTGATAGGTCCTGGGTTTGAATCTCGTGGGGCGAGATCGCGGATGCGCACTGCTGAGGAGTCCAATACTGGGACGAAACGGCCGTTCAGTGCTTTCAGGTTCTTCATGATGGTCTAACTTCACTTGACTCATGAATTCAACAACAAAATTAATCACCAATTATTTATTTCCTCACTTACTAATTTCCTCTAATTCACTGATATAAATTCACTATATTTTGTTAACTTGTATATGTTTATGTCAGTCAGTCAGTCAGTAACAACGTAGAACTTCGTACGTACGTACATCAGTTCGAGTTGCCAAACCACATTAGCACAGAGATGCAGTTGTCGATTCAAATCCCGTAGTGGTAGAGGTAATAAGAGTATAAGCAGTAATCGGGAAGATTAGTGTTTGGAAATGTTACTTAAAGAGTATAATACAGTGAAGTGAGTTTGAGAGGAGAAAAAAAAGGAGACAAGGAGGAATAAGGAGATCAAAATTTGGGAGAACACAAAGATTGGATGCACCTGCGCCATTGCAAACG